TGCCCTCATTAGCATTAAACAACCACAAGCAGTTTGGCAACAAAGCTCAGACCACTCAATCCCTCCTGAAAGGTGAGAGCCTGTGTCCAATCAGAGGTTGACGCTGAAGGCTGAGAGGGGTTAAAGGAAATTGGAGGCTAGAGGACGATGGCATCACTGGACATGATCTGCCACTCATCTTGTTTCTCGTTTCCCAGCCCCTCTGGTTAAAACTGCACTGTCCACAGGCATTTTGAGAGCCGGGGAATGAGAGAAAGCCACTGGATTGACATCCCTAGCAGTCATTACACGCTGGGTTGAATACTAGATTACTCCAAAGTGGCTCAGGGTCAAGCGGCAACGTGTTCGCTTTTGGCACACAATGACTTTAATACCAGGTGCAGTATTAGACAATTACCGCAAATCCCATCGCCGCTCCAACTGAAGAAAAAAAAACACAAAAAACAAGCAGCTCCATTTTGAGACAATAGCACACGGTCTGCTGTCCAAAATGGCCACTGTGAGAAAGCATGTCCCCGTTCGAACCCGTGACTTGCTAGCCTTTTTCTTCTGGGTGAGTGATATGACCTTTAGGTGCTTTGGTGACAATTACAGAAAGCGAAAAATTGAATTATTAGCTTTTTCTTTGCCTGCCAGTGGCTGTGTAGGCGTAGCTGTAAAACGCGGTAATTATTTAGCTAAATTGGCATATTATAATTCTTTTTTTCCCCTCCTTTTGGAAAATGATTGATAAAGAAGATGGCATGCTGGTTGTTGAGAGGGGTTTGAATGAAGGTAAGTGATTTAAATAGCTGGTGTAAGCTCGGCTTAATGTTGACTGTCAATAGGAACAATAGACGTGCTTTCCCAGAGGTCACTGGGAGACAGTTGGAGTGATGGGAGGCCATAGTCCTCCATTTTGCCTCTCTTTGGCTTTCCTAGATTCAGACAAGGTGATTTTTTTGATGGTGTGCACTTCTCTGGCCTTCTCTCTCTACTTCCTCTTCCTTTCATTTTTCCCAGCGTTCCTCATTGTAAGCTTGTTCCTGCAGTGGCTGTAATTATTTTCCCCTTGGTATCCGCCTGAGATGAGCGTTTTGCTTAGTGGCTTGTATCTGGCCCTGACAAGCCTCGTTTTGATTATTGCATCCAATGATTTGGCAAACCCTAAACCACGGTGTCGCTAATTAGGTAGCGTTTGAGTGGAATAGATGACTGCAAGGTCCTCTCAAGGTCATTCCTGCCTCTCCGAAGCCCGGCAATAAATTTTAAGTTTGAACGGAGAGGGGAGCAACGGGGCCAGTGAATATGAAGATGAAAAATCCCTGGACGATTCGTTTTTGTGCTCACTGGGATGTGAGCGCTGTCATGTGCACTCACACGTCGGCATTAACCTTTTCCTGCCTTGCCCCTCTCATCCCTACAAAACGTATTCCTCCCCCCTTGTCTCCTGTCCTGTCCTGTTTGTTTTTCCCAGATGTATGTTTCGGAGAGTACGTTTGTTCATTTATTTGCCCCGGATGTGTGTGCGCTCTCATTCCATCACGCTTATTCTAGTCAGCTCTTGAGATGTCCAGGGACCAAAATCCTTAATGAAGGCCTGATCAGAGACCTTCTGCGTGCCCCTCTGTCCTGGCACCTGAAAAGCCTGTCTGGCGTGAAATAAGATGCACCAACTGTGGCTGTTTTGTTTCATCTCTTAAAGACTTAGCCATTATCATTAGCACAGTCCCTCACTGCAGTAAGCACACATGGTTAGACTCAAGTAAAATATTGTAAAGTTGGAATGTCGCTACTCTATTTAGAGTGACATTTGCACCGGAGATGATATAGTCTTCCAGAACAGATCTCTGACTGATTTCTGACCACCTTAAAGGATGAGTCTGTCAGTGGTGATCTGAAATGAGGTTGCAGATTTTTATTTATTTTTTCAATCAAAAGCAAATTCATGTCCCAGTCACATTTTCTTTAAATAAACATTACTTACACTATCAGAAAAATTAAGAATGTAATCAATATTCTATTTATTAAAGATATGAATCTCATCAAGTAAGCATTTTACATTTATTCCAAAATAATAACTCAAGGCAGTAACAATTTAAACAATATATTTTATTTGTGAACTTATGTTTAGCTATTCTTTTTAATAGTTAACTATTTATTTTTATTTTTCGGATCATCAGTCATCAATCAAAGCTCGTTAAATAATGGTCACAGACACAGAAATTTAGCTGATTACTCACTAAAAAGTCCCACAGATAAGTTATTAACTTATTTTGACATGACATAAAGTGGATATATATGAGTGTGTGAGTTGTTTACTTACCTTTTTAATTAGTCTTCCCATTAACGCCATTATATAGTTCATATGAGTCTGTCAGTGGTGATCTGAAATGAGGTTGCAGATTTTTATTTATTTTTTCAATCAAAAGCAAATTCATGTCCCAGTCACATTTTCTTTAAATAAACATTACTTACACTATCAGAAAAATTAAGAATGTAATCAATATTCTATTTATTAAAGATATGAATCTCATCAAGTAAGCATTTTACATTTATTCCAAAATAATAACTCAAGGCAGTAACAATTTAAACAATATATTTTATTTGTGAACTTATGTTTAGCTATTCTTTTTAATAGTTAACTATTTATTTTTATTTTTCGGATCATCAGTCATCAATCAAAGCTCGGTAAATAATGGTCACAGACACAGAAATTTAGCTGATTACTCACTAAAAAGTCCCACAGATAAGTTATTAACTTATTTTGACATGACATAAAGTGGATATATATGAGTGTGTGAGTTGTTTACTTACCTTTTTAATTAGTCTTCCCATTAACGCCATTATATAGTTCATTTAGACTGATTCGTGAACACAGAACGCGCCTGAACACAAGAGGTGGGATTTATCACATGAACCAATTACAGCCAATCATAACCAGTCATATCCAGTCATATTGCAATGGAGGCATTGCCACCTCTCACGTGACCTTTTCCCATTCATTCTCAATTACGCCCCAGCAAACTCACGGCACGCTGTTAAAAACACAATGGGCTCAGGGGAGGCGAGAGAGACACAGACTTCTGCTGTAACTTTACCTGCTGGTGTCACTGTTGGACAGTGTTTCTTTAGAAAAAACAGTGATTTTTATAAAAACACTTTGGGCCAGTTTTACTAAACAGGGCAAATGCGCACGAGAGCATTTTTGCAATTCCAAAAAAGTGCCAATTTCTGCAGCTGATTTACTAACAACCGTGCAAATGAAAGAACACAGATGCAACATCTCATTTACATATCGACCAACGCAAAATATAACAAGCGCAGCGCAAATTAGCGTAGTCTTTATTCAAATAAAGAATTAAGAAATATAGAAGCCACAGTACGTTGAAAAGAACGTTTGCTAGAAGTTCTAATAGACCTGGTATTGTGTGACTCCTAGTTGAGGGTTCAAAGTCGTCTTTTATTTCCTGAAGCAAATTAAAAATAACATGTCTTGGCAAACGATATGTTCGGAAAATATGTTGTTCTGGCATTCAAAATAAATTAATACGTGTGGAAAAAGTCCTCTACCTTCTACCACGCACTCTCTGTTCTCTGCGGTGCCTCCTCCTATCAACAATAATTACAGCCATTTCAAGTGCAAAATAGTTTAAGACATGCTAAACTCACGGCACGCTGTTAAAAACACAATGGGCTCAGGGGAGGCGAGAGAGACACAGACTTCTGCTGTAACTTTACCTGCTGGTGTCACTGTTGGACAGTGTTTCTTTAGAAAAAACAGTGATTTTTATAAAAACACTTTGGGCCAGTTTTACTAAACAGGGCAAATGCGCACGAGAGCATTTTTGAGGGGAAATTGGAGGGGAAATTTCTGCAGCTGATTTACTAACAACCGTGCAAATGAAAGAACACAGATGCAACATCTCATTTACATATCGACCAACGCAAAATATAACAAGCGCAGCGCAAATTAGCGTAGTCTTTATTCAAATAAAGAATTAAGAAATATAGAAGCCACAGTACGTTGAAAAGAACGTTTGCTAGAAGTTCTAATAGACCTGGTATTGTGTGACTCCTAGTTGAGGGTTCAAAGTCGTCTTTTATTTCCTGAAGCAAATTAAAAATAACATGTCTTGGCAAACGATATGTTCGGAAAATATGTTGTTCTGGCATTCAAAATAAATTAATACGTGTGGAAAAAGTCCTCTACCTTCTACCACGCACTCTCTGTTCTCTGCGGTGCCTCCTCCTATCAACAATAATTACAGCCATTTCAAGTGCAAAATAGTTTAAGACATGCTTTTTTTGGGTGTTAAATAATGGTGCAAATGCCAATAATTTGACGAGCACAAATGTTAGTAAAACGTATTGCGTGATTCATTTGAATTCTCTCCTCCCATAAATTTTGCATCTGAAAGGGAAACTCCTACAAATGCATGTTCAATAAGGGCAAGCGCAAAAATAACTGTCCACTTCAGCGCTAATTCGTCTCTGCGCGTCTTTAGTAAAACCTGAAGGCAGGACCCGGCGTGGGAAATTCGTTACTATTTGGAATTTCTCAGGGGTCTCTTTCAATGAAAACAGGAAGTCGTGTATTTCCTAAAAGGAGGAAAAAAGTTTTAGACACATTTGTATATATATATATATAAAAAAGTTTTTTTTTTTTTTTTTTTTTTTTAAGAACAAGTGCACTGAAAGAGAGCCATTTTTGCATTCAGACTGCTACCTAAATGCTTGCGAAGGTATGATTTTAACTCATTTTGAACACTTCGTTTTGCTGTTTGAACAATTAATATAATAGTAGTAGTAGTAGTAATGATAATAATAATAATTTGTTTAAAATACATTACGCATTATATAATACAAAATAATAGTAATTTTATATATATATATATATATGCCATTTATTTATGTATATTTAAATATAATATTTAAAAGATACAGAAACTGAATAAAATAAATAAAAATCTTAGGGGGGAAAATGTATCCTGAAGAAAACATTAAATACTCCAATCTATAGAAAATAGATGTAACTATTATCTCACTTTTGGTGCTTTTTCTGCTTTCAGCTTTTTGACCACCTCCCCCTGTTCGGACACACGCCCATATGTGGCAGCAGTGGAGGAGTCAGGTAAAGGCGCGGGCTGCGGGGGAGATGCTGTGGGAGGAGCCATGCCTGGTTTGTATTCTTGACTAGTGAGCTGTTTAAACTCAGCTTTAAGAGCCAAGAGCTGTTTCACTGCAGCATCTACTTGCTCCTGTAAAATAAGTTAGACAATGGTCAACAATTACTTCAATATTTATCACAGTTATAGACAGTTCTAAACTACTAACAGACATAATGTCTGATGTCCTGCTGTATACTACTTACACCTTCTAAAGGTGCGGCCACATTTACCGCTGTTCTGCAGAAGTTTGTGGCATTTCAATAGAAAACTGTATGATCAAAAGTTTTGTGTGAGGAGAAAAAATTCCCCACACAGATTTCACTTGTGTTCAAGTTTGCCAAGCAAATGTCTGATCAAGAAAAAGCAGCTTGGTTTGAAAGTTACTTCTGTGTGACACTACATAGAAGATGCTATACTATTAAAGGGATAGTTCCACCAAAATTAAATTCTGTTGTTCCAGACCTGTATGAATTTCTTTCTTCTGTTGAACACAAAATAAAATATTTTGAAAACTGTTGGTAACCAAATAATTCCACTGACTTCCATAGTATTTTTTTTTCTCCATACTATGGAAGTCAATGAGGGCCAACAACTGTTTGGTTACCAACATTCTTCAAAAAAAATTATGTTCAACAAAAGAAAGAAACTCATTCATGATGAAAGAATTTTCATTTTTGGGTGAACTATTCATTTAACAATAGACTCTTTTTTTTTTTTTCCTGCATAATTTTGAGAATGTGTCCACACCTTAAGACAGGATCCCAATGAAGCAGACCCTTATAAGCAAGTGAAAATGCTTAGAATGCAGAAGTGTGACTAGAAAATGCTGTTTAGGTAGGCAGCTTGCTAGGTTATGCAATAGTGACTGAAACAGACCTTGGGTGCTTTTTCAGCCTTCAGTTTACTAACCACCTCGCCCTGCTCAGCAACACGAGTGTATGGACAACCGGTGGAGGCAGGGCTCGGACTTTCTGCTGCAGCGGTGGGGGTGGAGCTCTTCGGTGCTGGAGCAGATGTGGGTGGAGCCATGCCAGGTTTGTACTCCTGTCCAGTCAGTTGTTTAAACTCAGATTTCAAGGCCAAGAGCTGCTTTACAGCAGCGTCAACTTGTTCTTTAGGGGCCTTGTCTGTCTTGAGCTGTCTGACCAGGTCTCCCTGAGCCGCAATGCTGGAGAATAGGGCAGAAGAGTCTCCTGGTGCGGCCGGCGCTGGGCTGGAGACAGGAGCCTGTTTGGCTTTGCTCAGAGGAACAGACTCTGCCTTCACCTGAATAATATGAATAGAGCGATCATTTTCTTCAACATTTGAAAACAAACTAATTAAGAGAACGAATAGATGTTCCAGTTTAGTGCTCACAGGTTTAGCAGCTGTCTGGCTCTTGCTCTTGTCCTTGGAGCCAGCAGTGGGCATCTCTTTTGTGTGTCCATCTGGGATGTACAGCAAGACACAGGGACTCTCCTTGCAGCTGTGGGGGCTGAACAAAGAGGTCAAATTACAAACAGAGCATAAAAACAGAAAATGTATTATTCATAAGACTCTGTGTTGAACGGATTAGAGGTGTAACCTGATTGGCTCATAAGGCTGATCACAGATATAGAAACCTCGTCTCTGCAGCTGTATGATGTCACCTTTCTTCAAGTCCTTCAGGCAAGGGTCTCCTAGCATCTTCTCCTCTATCTGGAAACAAATCATTCATTTTAATACATATCAACATTAAAACAATATATACAAAAGCTTTATTTATATTTCAAATAAATGCTGTTCTTTTAAACCTTCTACTCGAAAGATTCTAAAAATGTATTATGGTTCCCACAAAAATATCAAGTGTCACAACTGTTTTTAACATTGATGATAATACATTTTCTTGAGCACCAAATCATTACATTAGAATGATTTCTGAAGGATCATTTGACACTGAAGACTAGCTTAATGGCTTCTGAAAATTCAGCTTTGCATCACAGGAATTACATATTACATGATTGTTTTTACTGTATTTGACCAAATAAATGTAGCCTTGGTGAGCATAAGATACTTCTGAATGTTTTTTGCATTTTTGCGTGTAATGTAGTAATGTAGTACCATTCATAAATGTTATGCAAATCAAGGGCCAGTTTTACTAAACGGGGCAAATTAGCGCAATTCCAAAACAATATCGACCAACGCAAAATATAACAAGCGCAGCGCAAATTAGCGTAGTCTTTATTCAAATAAAGAATTAAGAAATATAGAAGCCACAGTACGTTGAAAAGAACGTTTGCTAGAAGTTCTAATAGACCTGGTATTGTGTGACTCCTAGTTGAGGGTTCAAAGTCGTCTTTTATTTCCTGAAGCAAATTAAAAATAACATGTCTTGGCAAACGATATGTTCGGAAAATATGTTGTTCTGGCATTCAAAATAAATTAATACGTGTGGAAAAAGTCCTCTACCTTCTACCACGCACTCTCTGTTCTCTGCGGTGCCTCCTCCTATCAACAATAATTACAGCCATTTCAAGTGCAAAATAGTTTAAGACATGCTTTTTTTGGGTGTTAAATAATGGTGCAAATGCCAATAATTTGACGAGCACAAATGTTAGTAAAACGTATTGCGTGATTCATTTGAATTCTCTCCTCCCATAAATTTTGCATCTGAAAGGGAAACTCCTACAAATGCATGTTCAATAAGGGCAAGCGCAAAAATAACTGTCCACTTCAGCGCTAATTCGTCTCTGCGCGTCTTTAGTAAAACCTGACAGTACAATTTTAATGCCAAAACAAGGTTTACACTGGTGCAAGCTGTTAGTAAAACTGGCCCTGTATGTGTTAAATATAACAATATAAATATAACACCTGTAATGTGTATATATATATATATAAAAAAGGTTTTTTTTTTTTTTTTTTTTTTAAAGAACAAGTGCACTGAAAGAGAGCCATTTTTGCATTCAGACTGCTACCTAAATGCTTGCGAAGGTATGATTTTAACTCATTTTGAACACTTCATTTTGCTGTTTGAACAATTAATTTCCCAGAAATCTGTTGAATTTCTTTGAATCGCTCTTCAGTAAATTCTACTTATTTGTCATCACAATTCCAATGTAATTTTTAGTTGTGTGTGGACAATTCAATTAAAATGCACAGTTACGGATTGAAGGGGAGCCAATTTTTCACAAACAGGGTGTCCAGTTTTAGCTTAGTTGCCGTGACATTCATTGATAATGTGCTTTTGTGCCCTTAAATCATTGTTTCTCTGCAGAGGCGATGCTTCTTTTAGGTGGCGACAATGGGGGCGCATATTTCTTGCCTTTGTGAGTCTGTCCGCAACTGCAGTCGCGGGGAGTGAGTTACCTGTTATTCCGAGGGAACTTTGTTCAGGGAGGCCAGAGACACATTTATCTGTTTTTCAGATGGTGTTAAATCGCACAGATACAGAAAAATGGAAGGTCACATCCTCTTGCAATGGGAGGCCCGAGACTCACCCTAGTCCAAATATTGACATGGGTATGCTAAACTCAAGGCAATAAAAATCATCAATGACTAGCTTTAACCGCCGGTGTTATTCCAACACCGTGTGTCCTTGAATTACCGCACAACACAGAGGCCGTTCTTTAGTTTTAAGTAACTGCGGTGTTCATTTGGGTTGGATCGTTTTCCCGGTCTGTCTCGTAGCACGTCGTCTGTGTGCATCTCTGGATACTTAGTGTAATAAGAGCACCAAGTCTTGCAATATCAATAAAAACAGTAAGGCAATGTGGTAAAGGGGTCTGCATTAAATCAGAAGGGCCTCCTTCCTCATTCAAGGTCAGATGAAGAATGAGCTATTGCTTGTGTGCGTCTGAACTGCTGGTCAAACGGCCATACGCCGGTCTTCTGTGTTTTTAAATATGCAATGAGGACTGGAGACCTTCTGGCGCTCTCTGTGTAACCCTCTTTATGCAACAAGGGGTGAAATCTGCATTCTGTGTTGTGTTGAGAGGCCTTAAATGATCATCTGGGAGTGGACTTGACCTCATCTGTGACCTCTAAAGAAGTATGCTGGAAACGGAGGGTATTATTCCTCCTATATGGGTGCCAATGAAGCCGAAGTTGCGTCTCACACACTCGGGCACAATAGGCTCACACCTGCCCACTGTAACTCAGAGGGCAGTGATTCTCATGCGGGATAACAGGGGCTTGTGTTTTCTGTCTGTTATTATCATTCTGGAAATGAATATCATGATTTTTTTATGACTCATTATTTTCCTGGCACAGGTAGAGGGCCGATATTGATTGCGATGCAGAATTCATAAAGAGACAGACTCTGCTTTTGTTCCTCCACTGTTTCCCTAGTCATGTAGTGTCCAGTCGGTCTTCCAAAGGAGAGCGCGGTGCAATTTTTTTTCTTCTGTTGTATCTTTGTTGTGGAAAGAATAGATCTTTCCCCTTTCAAACTAGTACCTCCTCAGGAATTCATTTATCTTGGTAAGGCCTTGTGTGCAAAGTGACATGGAAACCGAGGGGCTTTTGTGGCGGGAGGATTAATGGGACAAACGGAGCAATAAAAACGTCCAGCACCCAGAATCCCACTCAAACACTGATCGTCTCATGTTCAGAACATCCTGTGTTCATCATAGAATGTGGTTCAGTTAGGGTGAAAACATTAATTTAATTATATCGTTTTGCAAAGTCCTAAAGTCCTAAGCGAAGTCCTAAATATATAAATGTGTGTGTGTGTATAGAGTATATATGCACACACATGCACATGCACAAACACACATACACACACACATGCTTCTTTTAGGTGGCGACAATGGGGGCGCATATTTCTTGCCTTTGTGAGTCTGTCCGCAACTGCAGTCGCGGGGAGTGAGTTACCTGTTATTCCGAGGGAACTTTGTTCAGGGAGGCCAGAGACACATTTATCTGTTTTTCAGATGGTGTTAAATCGCACAGATACAGAAAAATGGAAGGTCACATCCTCTTGCAATGGGAGGCCCGAGACTCACCCTAGTCCAAATATTGACATGGGTATGCTAAACTCAAGGCAATAAAAATCATCAATGACTAGCTTTAACCGCCGGTGTTATTCCAACACCGTGTGTCCTTGAATTACCGCACAACACAGAGGCCGTTCTTTAGTTTTAAGTAACTGCGGTGTTCATTTGGGTTGGATCGTTTTCCCGGTCTGTCTCGTAGCACGTCGTCTGTGTGCATCTCTGGATACTTAGTGTAATAAGAGCACCAAGTCTTGCAATATCAATAAAAACAGTAAGGCAATGTGGTAAAGGGGTCTGCATTAAATCAGAAGGGCCTCCTTCCTCATTCAAGGTCAGATGAAGAATGAGCTATTGCTTGTGTGCGTCTGAACTGCTGGTCAAACGGCCATACGCCGGTCTTCTGTGTTTTTAAATATGCAATGAGGACTGGAGACCTTCTGGCGCTCTCTGTGTAACCCTCTTTATGCAACAAGGGGTGAAATCTGCATTCTGTGTTGTGTTGAGAGGCCTTAAATGATCACCTGGGAGTGGGTTTGACCTCATCTGTGACCTCTAAGTGAGCAATCTGGAGACGGAGATCTTTATTCCTCCCGTATGGGTGCCAATGAATCCGAAGGTACGTTGCACACACTCGGGCACAGTGAAGGATACCTGTGTCAGATGGGGTACTAATAGGCTCACACCTGCCCACTGTAACTCAGAGGGCAGTGATTCTCATGCGGGATAACAGGGGCTTGTGTTTTCTGTCTGTTATTATCATTCTGGAAATGAATATCATGATTTTTTTATGACTCATTATTTTCCTGGCACAGGTAGAGGGCCGATATTGATTGCGATGCAGAATTCATAAAGAGACAGACTCTGCTTTTGTTCCTCCACTGTTTCCCTAGTCATGTAGTGTCCAGTCGGTCTTCCAAAGGAGAGCGCGGTGCAATTTTTTTTCTTCTGTTGTATCTTTGTTGTGGAAAGAATAGATCTTTCCCCTTTCAAACTAGTACCTCCTCAGGAATTCATTTATCTTGGTAAGGCCTTGTGTGCAAAGTGACATGGAAACCGAGGGGCTTTTGTGGCGGGAGGATTAATGGGACAAACGGAGCAATAAAAACGTCCAGCACCCAGAATCCCACTCAAACACTGATCGTCTCATGTTCAGAACATCCTGTGTTCATCATAGAATGTGGTTCAGTTTACTCACAATTTGTACAGTGTCCCAACTTTTTGGGAATTGGGTTTGTAGTTTTTTTTTTAATTACTAATTACTGCTTAGTCAAAGAAAAATGGCAAAAAGTTATATTTTTAATGCGCAAATGCAACTTTTTAGAAAGTGTATATGCATTGACATGAACAAACTTGGTATACTTGGGGCAGTCGTGGACTAATGGATAGAGAGTCGGACTTGTAACCCGAAGGTCGTGGGTTTGAGTCTCCGGTTTGAGTCTCAGGTCCGGCAGGAATTGTAGGTGGGGGGAGTGAATAACCAGCGCTCTCTCCACCTTCAATACCACGACTGAGGTGAGACCCTTGAGCAAGGCACCGAACCCCGATCTGCTCCCCGGGTGCCGCAGCATTGGCTGCCCACTGCACCGGGTGTGTGTTCATGGTCTGTGTGTGTGTTCACTTCTGTGTGTGTGCACTTGAATGGATTAAATGCAGAGCACAAATTCCGAGTATGGGACACCATACTTGGCCACACGTCACGTTTCACTCCCTTAATTATATTA